ATAAAAAATACCAGTCCATTTCTCATCTTAAAGGCCAAACACTCCCAAGTGACTAAGAAATCCTTATTTCATCACCTATTCTGGTTTTGGTTCAGAGTTTTACAGAGGTTATAGATGCAATGGAAGGACTCTGTTTCAGTAATTCTCTTCCAGATAACCAAATTATTTTGATTACTTTATAAAAGGAATGATATATGAATCTGTGTGGTTTTAAAATACTTTTAAAATTATAACATGAATCATCAGTGCTTTTAGTGCTTTGATGTTTGAAGAAATATCATGAAATTTATAGATACATAATTAGATTGTTGCTCTTTGTTTAAACTGGGTAGTTGCAAGGCTGTAAAGACTGACTCTAAACCAAGATTCCACAAATAACTATTGGAATTGCACAATACACATTGCTTGGTGTTTTCTTCTGTGTGTACATTAACCTTGTAAAACAGTAAAATTTAGAACACTATATGTGGTATTGAAATTTCAGGGACTCAAAACATAATGTAGTTCAGTGTATGTTTTGTAGGTGGGAGGTGCTGATGACAGTGTTAATAGGGTTTAGGATATTTACACGTACATGGAAAATTCTAAGGATAGGTAGTACAGGAGCACAGTTTTTTTCCTGAGCTGATACCATGAGCTAATGACAATGTGAATGCTGTATTTAAGTGGTTGTTTGTTTTCCTTGAGTAACAAATGCATGAAAAATTAACTGCTTCACCTAGATCAGATCAGTGGTCTGTGTGAAGTTACACATGTTGTTCCTTCTTGGTTGTTGCAAACTATTGGATGTGTTCATAGAGAAGCTCTGTTCTCTGTGTTATGGCCGTGTCCCTTTGCTTTTCCTTCTGCTTTTATTTCTTCCACAGTTGAGGCTAGGTATATTGTTTCAAAGAAATAGCCATGAATATGCATAAATACACTTTTAAAAATGAGCTTTCCTAAACTATTGAGAGTTCTCTCTGCCTCTTGAGGAAGGAACTCTTGGGGGAGAGACCCATCTATCTGCACGAGCATTTAGCTTGTTCAGATCTCTGCATTTTATAAATGCTTCCTACTTAAGAAAGCATTTTTTAAGTCACTGCTTGTACCAGGTAATTTTTGCTGGGGATGGGAAAAGGTTGGGTTTTTTGGTGGGAGAGGGGTGGGTGGATATTTTTTTGTTGATGCTTTATGTGCAGGTGTGTTCTGAGGCAATAACAAGTTGCTGTGAAAGCAGTATGTGCTGCTGCCTTTGTAACTGCATGGAAACTTTTCACATGGATTTTTCTCTAAGTTAATGCAGAAATGTGTAAACTGGGAGTTGCAAATGTAATATTTTTTTTAACAGTTCATGAAATTAAGTTATTAAAATAACAAAATAACATAAGATTTAATTACTTTAGTGCTATACTATATAATTCTAGAATTAGCCTTGTTTTATGAAGTTTAAAATACATTTTAGAAATCAAAGTTGATATGCTTAGCTATCTTTTGATTATTAAAAGCTTTCTTAAAGTCCCACACATTTGGACCATGGCAGCTAATTTTGTAATTTAAGCATTCATATGAACTACCTATGGACATATATTAAACTAATTGACAAAAATCTCAGAGTGCCGCCTTTACTTTCCTGGGGTTGCCCTTCAAGAGTATAAGCCCAAAGGAACGTTCTTTCTGTTCAAAAGAAGTCAGCGCTGAAATGCTTTTCCTTCAAAGGAGTTGACCTTGATAATAATCCTTTAATTTGCTACCAGTTATTTTCAGAATGTTTTGTATTTTTAGAGGTTTATATATTATTAACGGGCTCCTCCCCAAAGTCTGCCTCCTTAGTTAAGACACCATTATCTCTCCCGTGAATGAGAGGAGAATATTGTTGACTGTCACACATTGGAAAACCACCAAGCCCTCCTTTTCTGCATTGCATGGGCCCTTAGTAAGGACAAAACAGGCACTGGACTGGAAGATAAAGACCTGGCTGTAGTGCCAGCAAAGTCAATACTAAGCCCTTGACTTTGGGCAAGTCACTAAACGCTTTGACTCTCTGTTCTGTTCTTCCTACAAAGTAAGGATAGTAACTGTTTTCTTCCTACCTCACAGGTAGGTTAGCACGAAGAGATATATAATATGTGTGAAATTCTTTCATAAACTACAGTACTTTAAACATGTGAGGTATCATCTGGAACTGTTCTCCAAGTGGTGCATTTTTGCTTTATTCTCTTTTGTTTTCCTTTCTCTCAGTGGAAACCAAGTAGATCCTTTCAGGGTTCTCTTAACTTTATCTGCAAAATGTGACAGGGTACTTTGGAATGTGGGTTGGGGGAACAGTGATACCTGTTTCCTTAGTAATAGAACCTTTTCCTGTCATGCACTAGAAGTTGAAACTTCTTTAGATGAGACTTAGACCAAAGAAAAACACTGATTAGTATTCTCACTCCCCCATACAATAGGAATAGGCACATGAAAATTATTTAGAGCAGTGTTATACAAAGGATCTGTTGGTTTTGGTGGGATGGGTGAAATACTGAACTTTATCATCTCAGATTCCTTATCCTTATTGTTCGTGTTTCTACTTATTTTGAATGATTTGAAAGGATATAAAAGGGAAGAGGCAGTTACACCCAACAGGAGTGGCTGCTAAAACAATAGTGAAGAGTATGATGTTCCTTATTTTCTAGAGTTTGGTGATCAGCAAAAGATTTATTTGTATTTGAAAGAAAGTGTAATGTTTTAATCCTTAGACAAGTTGAATGCTATCTTCTCAACTCCATTAACTGAGAATACCAACTTCAGAATAAAACAGACTTTTTTCTTCTGAAAGGCAGAAACGTACATCTACTATACCACTTTTTTTTTTTTTAAGATTTTATTTATTTATTTATTTGACGGACAGGGATCACAAGTAGGCAGACAGGCAGGCAGAAAGAGGGAGAAGCAGGCTCCCTGCTGAGCAGAGAGCCTGATGCGGGGCTTGATCCCAGGACCTGAGATCATGACCTGAGCCAAAGGCAGAGGCTTTATTTAACCCACTGAGCCACCCAGGCGTCCCTACTATACCACTTTTAATGGATATTTTGTTCTTTCCTTCATCTTTTAAAATTAACTACCAAATAAAATTAACTGCCTTTTAAAATTTCACCTCTTTGGTTTTATCCAAATAGGGTGACTTTTATTTAAGACACCCAGGCCTTTTTAAGTAATTAGTTCCTATCACATTTTGAACATAAATGCTTATATCACTTTTTTCTGCATCTTTTTTTTTTTTTTTTTTTTTTAATGTAACTATCACTTAGAAAGTTTGTAGCAAAGCTAGAAGCTAAAAGCCAGTTTTCTGCTTTAGGAAAGAGCCCTGGGTTTGTAGCAGAGACCCTGGTGCTGTCCTAGTGCTGGAACAAGTCTGTTCCCTCCTCTGTGAGGGAGCATTCGCCGCTCTTCCTTCTCGTGATCTAACAGACAACATGTATAATGCACTTTGACAACCAAAACGTTCTACAAATTAAATAATCCTGCCCATGTTACTAAACCAAACATAAGCATTTCCCTCACTTGAGTATTCTAGGCAATTTTACCTTACCTTTCTGACAATTTATATGGTATCTTGAAGAGGCCAGTGAATTTAGTTTAAACTGGATGCTTTGAGTTGAAAGCAAAACTTGCTCATCACAAGTCAAAAGGAAAGCAGGGAGTCTGTAAACTCTGAAAGTTGACCTTTCATTACACTGGTTTTCTAAGTTATCTGGATTTAGGAGGTCCATTTGCAAGGAAAACTAAAGTGAATGGAAATTTGCTTCTAGAAATAGTCCCAACAGAAGCTGGGCCAAAGGTTTCTCTAACCAGCATTTGTGGGCAATCATGAAGATGGCGAGACCTTTCAGCCACCTTGACGGATTAACATCCAGTTAGAGAATGACATGGCAGCTGGGCCAGTGGGCTGGGAAGAGCCTCCATGTTTAAATTCCCCATAGCAGTGGCTGCATCATTTGGCATCTTTTCTAGCACTGACCTTTCTGGCACCCTCAATTCCAAAGACCACGTGTGAAGAAGGTCTTTTTTTCTAAAGAACATCGCCAAGAATTTTACTTCCATTTTTACCATCTTGCTGTTGTCAGTTTACCGTTTGCTGCGCAGAGGGGCCACTTATTTTGAAAACGAGAGAAAAGTGTGGGTCCTGCTTTGGAAACTTAAAGCACTAGATAAGATCAAAGTGATGTACGTGAAACTGAATAAGGTCCTGAGTCACTGGCAAAGTTTACGTTCACAGTCACATATTTCTGCCCGTTTGCACGCAGCTGAACTTCTCTCCCATCTTGGAAGTTGGGACACTATAAATCTGTGTCACCAGATCTCTCCAACTTTGGACACACGCCCCAGCCCGACACGCAGGGAAAGACGCAGGCCCACACAAGGGAGCTTCTCTCAATTGCCATCTTCTCTCGAGCCCAGCGCGAACTCGGCTCAGGCTTGCAGCACAGGCCTCTCAGACTTGTGCACGAGGAAGGATCCAGGGACAGAAAGATCCAGAAGTGGGGGGAAAAGTTCCTGTTGGCTGTTTTACTCCTTTTACAGCTAAAGAAACTGAAGCCCGGAGAGTGGGTTTTCCCTTCGCAGCTTGTCGGTCTGGTGCTGGAGGGGCGTTTGGGAGGCCTTCAAAGAGCAGCGCGAGACAGCTTTTTTCACTAAAGTCCTACCACACAAAATAGGAAAAAAATATATATTTTTTTGAAGTAGCCAAGTCATCCGCCAGTGTGTGGTTGCCTTCCTCTAGTCCCCCCTGACTCTTCACTATTGAAATCCTCCTACTTCCTTCCTGCTGCGGGGGCGGGGAGGCTCCTGGGAGCCCTTGTCGGACCCCGCAGGCCCCGCTAGCCAAGCTACGCCTTCGGCTTCCGCACACTTGGGGAAAAGGACGTCTTCGGTTAGAGACCGCGTGCCCTCCCTCAGGAACGCGCTGCGCGGACCCAGTTAACTTAGAACCGAAGAAGCGCTCCCCGCGCGGCCGGTGCCAGGAGGTTGCGGGGGCAGGAGGGGGTGCCAGAGCCCCCGACGCGACGCGGGACGCACTGGGAAGCAGCCCCACCCCCGGCGCTGAGGGAGCCGGGCGGGGAACCGAGGACCGCGCTTCCTCACCCGCTCCGCGGAGGAGCCGGGGCGGGGCGGGGCGGGGCGGGGCGGGGCTCTCCTCCATCAGCCCTACCCCGGCCCCGCTACTGCGCATGGCACGTTGCGTACCTCCCCTCACCCCCAGCAACCGGCCAGGCGGCGCGGCCCTAAACTAAGGAGGCGGAGCTGAGACGGGGTCGGGACTGCTTGCTAACTCCAGGACCAGGTACCGGGCTGGCGGGGCCGCCTGGTGCGCTCCAGGGACCAGTCCCTTCCCGCCCTGACGCCGATTCCATCTCCTCAGGGGCGGGCCTTCGTCAGATCGGCCATCCCGCCCCCCCCCCCTCGCCCTCCACGGGTCCCTTTTCACCCCGTCCTCCTCGATTCCCGCAATGAGAGGGGCTGCAGCCTGAGAGCAGGATAGGCTTGGGCCTGCCCGGGAGACGCCGGAGCGGAGTTGCCGGGCGAGAGAGGCGAGCGCCTGCTTTCCGTACCCATCTTTCCCCCTGACTCCTAGGTGGGGAACTTGGGGCCCAGGTGTCAGTCTGCCCTTCCCAAAGAGGTGGCCGATGCTGTGCTGACCCCCACACCCCCATCCCACAACCCCAATTCCCATCCATCCCAGTCTGGACAGGCAGCGAATCAAGCTTAAGAAGAGAGATTTAGGTGACTCCTTGAATCAGCAAAAACAAAGAGCTTCTAATCGTCCTGTTGTTTTCCAAGAATGTTTCAGTGCCCACTGTAGATTTGGGGTGGCGATGGCGGTGGGGGTAGGGAAGTGAGCGCGAGGGAAGGGGAGTGGTTAAATAAAATTGTTCAAGTTTCCAGGAAATGGGGGACTAATTTTTCTGCCCAGCCTTCTGTTAAGATAACCGAGCATATTCTAACTCGACTTTCCCCGAAGAGGAAAAGCCGTTCGAACTGGTCCTTTTCTTACTGTATAATACCTGTTGAAGTACAACCGTAATTCAGTATGTATTTGAGGCTTGAGGACAGTGCTCCATTGACTGATTCATACTGTCTAAAGACACCCAAGACTGTTTCTTATTCTTGAGAATTGAAGAAACCGAGTCTTACCGGTTACCTGCCTTAGGCCAGGAACCTACTCAGCTATGAGTGCTGAATGGTAAAGTCTGTTCCCCCACCCTTCAGCCAGGTTTCTTAGAGTATGGTAACTCAAATGCAGTGTTTGTAGTTGTAACCCCAGACATAGAAGACGTTTAGGAAAACAGGGACAGAAACAGGGGAAAAGGAAAAAAAGAAATAGAGCAAGGTAAACAAGTTCTTTTCTGTTCTGTTTGGCATCTGGTCAGCCACACTGTCAAATCGGGCCATGTCTTCTTGGTCAGTCGTCATTGTATCTTTGCAGACACTGTCTTGACACTTCTCCCTAGACTTCTCCGTAATCACTCTGGTTTCTAGAGCACAAGCATTGGAACACATCTACCTGGTCCTCTACCAGTTACCTGTGTCATTCTGGGCATTTAACCTCTCTAAGCTTTAAGCGGCTGATCTGTAAAATGAGGAAGATACTACTTACTGTGAGCCGATCTCTGTGAAGCATTTACCATATAGTAAGTTCACCTTAAGTGGGTGCTGCTTTTATTATTTTTGCTATTAACAATATAACAGATAAAGAAGTGCCCATCTGATGTGTTGGGCACCGCAGCCCCTGGGAATGCAATAGCGTATAAGATGCACTTAGCAGTTGACATTGCGGTAGGTGTAAGGGTTGAATACAGAGGCTGAACACCTAACAGAGGTGCGGGTGGGGGGTGGAGGAGAATGGTGGCCAGGGAGGACTTCTGTAGCACAGGGTACATGAGATGAGTAGTAAGGAATGACAGGTCAAAGTTAATCAGGTTGGGGGAGTGCAAGTGGTCCAAGAGGGGAAGCAGAATCTTTAAAGTTCTTCCTTTGAACTCCATTTCCTACCTCCCTTCAAGCATGATGTCTGACATATGGACTTATCCCAAGGCTTGTTTCCCAGCCTTCTCCTTTTTTCTCCCCATTTTCTCCTTGAGTGCATTTGTCACTGTATAGCTTTGGCTGCTAACTCCCAGGTCCACATAGCCATCTCTAACATCTCTCTGAAGCATCAGTCTTACTTTTCTGACTGCTATTTCTTCTCACTTGGATATATAACTATTTTCTCAACTTCAACATGATTTAAAAACTCGAACTCATCTTCCCACCAGAACCACTTCCACCTCTGAGTTTCCTGTTTTGTTGCTGACACACTACTCTTTCCCAGTTACTTGGGCACAAAAAAAATCAGAGTCATCAGAGTTGTCCACAAGTAGAATGGGTTCCGTGATAAGGCAGTGAGTCTCTGGCAGGGGAAGTTTTCAAGCAGAGGCTAAATTAACCTTACATCCTAGGGTTTGTAAAATCTCTTCCCCTAAAGGGTGGAGGATGGGCTAGATGATTTATGGTGTCTTAACTAACTAAATATAATTTCTTTATTTTCCCTTCATCCCCTACCCATCTACTTCTTTTTTGTTGTTGTTGTTTTATTTTATTTTTAAAGATTTTATTTATTTATTGGACAGAGATCACAAACAGGCACAGAGGCAGGCAGAGAGAGAGGAAGGGAAGCAGGCTCCCTGCCAAGCAGAGAGCCTGATGCAGGGCTAGATCCCAGGACCCTGGGACCATGACCTGAGCCGAAAGCAGAGGCTTTAACCCACTGAGCCACCCAGGCGCCCCTACCCATCTATTTCTTAACATTCCCTCTGCCACAAGCTCTTATCACCCCAAATATGGTCCGCTGTAATTGTGTTCTAACTGGCATTCCTTCCTCTGGGGATTTTTCACCTCCCATTCTTCCATCCGTTTGCAGATTAATATTCCTTAGAATGTTTCTTAGAACAAGGCTTCTCAAACATTAGTCAATATAATGGTCCACAGACCAGCAGTGTTACCATCAGCTGGGAGTTTGTTAGAAGTATTAGGCCCACTCCAGACCTTCTAAATCAACATCTGCACTTTTAACAAGATCCTCAAATTTTGTGAATGCACTATAAAGTTTGAGGGACACTATCTTAGACCACTGTTTTGCATTTGTCACTTTTCTGTTTAAAACCTACAGTGGCTCCCTATATGCCTATAAATGCATCCTCTAGCATGCACATAAGGCCTCTTCATTGTTCTCATATATCTGGAGTTGTGCTTCTATAACTGGTTATGCAAAGGGCTGACATAACTTCTCGGTATATTTGGTCAGTCAGTCAACATCACTGAGTTCCTACTACATGATACGCACTAGTCTAGAAACTGGGAGATACACGTGTGGACAAAACAAAGTAAGCACTAAAAATGAGCACCTAATACTATTTCATGCTTGGAATTCCCATTTTCTTTAAGTCCTCTTTGACACTGACACCCAGGTCTGTCCCAGGTTATAGTAGCTGTCTTTCCCTTTGCTGAACACCGCAAGGATTTGCCCATTTCTATGTATGCTTTCTCCAAACCTGCTGAATTAAAAATTTTGAAGGTGGGAGTTTGAGCACCCATAGGTTTTTATAACTACATGACTTAATTTGAAACACATCCTGGTTGGGATCCCATGTTCAGAAAATTAATGAAGCTGTTGGTGTGGTAGTCTAGGAGCAGTTCTTAGGTTTTATTAATTCATAGTGTTTGGAGACTGACTTTACTTTCTATTTCCAGTATTTTCCCAGAGCATAAAAAGTTCCTTCTGCAGATAAAAATCATCTTTTTAATCTACATTAATATTCTATTTTCTTTCTGTTGTAGACTACATATGGATATGGACCCTGCTTCCTCTTAAATTTCTTTTGCACGATGCTTGTGTTTAATGTTATTAAATAATGTGCTCTCTAATAATCTTTTTTTTTTTTAAGTCAGTCAATATTTTTACTATTTCATGCCAGGATAAATGATTCTCAACATGGTGATGATCTTCTATAAGAAGATTAGGATGGGGTGAGGATAAATGCAATTTGATAAAAATATATAGATGATTTTAAAAGGTCTCCTCTTGCCCCTGGATTGAAAACCATTGCTTTGATTTCTCTGAAGCAGTTTCAAGGATTCCAAGAACTCTGTGTATCTGATTAAGTTCCCACTCCCGTTGCTATACCGTATACCCACAAAACCCCAACCCACCTCAAAAAAAAAAAAAAAAAAAGGAAACATGGCAAGGATTTTTTTTCTAGGTTCTTCAAAAGTGTTTCTGATTATTTAGTCATTTTACTTTTAAAGTCATTTTTGTTGAGATACAATTTACCTACAATAAAATATGCCTACATGAAGTATATGGTTTGTTGAATTTCAACAGATAAACTTGTGTAACTATAATGCAATCAAACTACAAAACATTTTCAGCACCCAAAAAGTTCTTGTGTGTCTCTTTGAATTTGGTCCGAGGCAACCAATGACCTGCTTTCTGTCATAGTATTTTCACTTTTTCTAGAATTTCACGTATATGAATACATAGATTTACGTCTGACTTTCACTTAACAGGATAATGTATGTATCCGTACTTTGTTCCTTTTTATTCCTGAGTAGTATTCCACTTGTGAATATACCATGTATTGTTTTTTCACTTACCAGTTGATAGACATTTGGATTGTTTCTGATTTGGGGCCATGGTGAATAACGCTGTTATGAACATTCATGTACAAGTCTATGTGAACATATGTTTCCATTTCTCTTGAGTAGACTACCTAGAGCAGACTTAGTGGGTCACAGGAAGCTACTAAACTATTTTCCAAAGTGGCTGTTACAGTAGTTTGCATCCCCATCAGCAGTGAATGAGAGTTTCTGTTGGTCAGTATCCTTGTCAACGGTTGGTATTGTCAGTTTTTATTTTTAGCCATTTCCGTAGGTGTATAGTGGTATCTTATTGTGGCTTTATATACATTTCCCTGATGACAAGTGATGTTGAGCATCATTTCTTGTGCTAAGTGGCCATTCCTGTTCTTCTGTTCAAATCTTTTGCCCATTTTTTAAAATGAGTTGTCTTATTGAGTTGTGCAAGTTCTTTAAATATTCTGTTTATAAAATGTTTTTTGTACACACACACACACACACAAACACACACACACACACTTCTCTCCCAACTTGTTTATTTTCTTGGTGGTGTCTTTCAAAGGCAGAATTTTTTCATTTTCATAAAGTTTATATTTTTCTTTTTATTTCATGCTCATGGTATTCTTTTTTAAATTATTTTTTCTTATCCCAACATCATGAAGATTTTTCTCCTGTTTTACTTAGTAGTTTCAACTTTTTCTTTACTTCTTTGATCCATTTCAAGTTAATTTTTGTGTATCATATAAGGTAAGGGTGAAAGTTCATTTTTTCTATATGTCTGTTAAGTTGTATCTAGGTTATTTTCCCCCATGGAATTACTCTGGCCCCTCTCTTGAAAATTAATTGCCCATACATGCATGGATCTATTTCTGGATTCTCTGTTCTGTTTCATTGATCCATTTGTCTATGCTAGACCAAAGTACACTGTCTTGATTACTGTAGCATTAAAGTAAGTCTGGAGGGGCGCCTGGGTGGCTCAGTGGGTTAAAGCCTCTGCCTTCAGCTCAGGTCATGATCCCAGGGTTCTGGGATCGAACCCTGCATCGGGGCTTTCCGCTCAGCAGGGACCCTGCTTCCCCTTTTCTCTCTCTGCCTGCCTCTCTGCCTACTTGTGATCTCTGTCTGTCAAATAAATAATAATAAATAAATAAATAAATAAAGTCTGGAAATCAGATAATATAAGTCTTCTAACTTTGTTCTTTTTCAAAATAATTGTGGCTATTTTAGGTCCCTTATATTTCCATATAAATTTGAAGATCAGTTTAGCAACTTCTCTTTAAAAGTCTGCTGGGATTTTGATTGGGATTATACTGAATCCATACATCAATTTGGAGGGAGTTGACATCCTCACAATACTGAGTCTTCTAATCTATGAACATAGTGTATCTCTTATTTAGCTTATCTTTAATATCTCTTAGCCATGTTTTATAATTTTAAACATACAGGTTCTTATTCATAATTTTAAAAAGTTATTCCTAATTATTTTATGTTTTTGTTTGTATTATAGATAGTTTCATTTTTTAAAATTTCATTTTCTAATTGTTCTTCACCAGTATATAGAAATACAATTGGGTTTTGTTATTGAGCTTCTTTCTAAATTCATTTTTTTAGATCTAATAATTTTTTTTGTATAATTCTTAGAATTTTCTACATACACAATCATGTTGTCTATGAATAAAGAGTTTTACACCTTCTTTTCCAATCTGTCTGCCTTTTGTTTCTTTTTTTTTTCCTTTTTGCTTTGGCCAAGACCACTAGTACAATGATGTACAGAAGTGATAGGAGCAGACATTCTTGTTTCGCTTCTGTTCTTAGAGTCAAGTCACTAATTCTTTTTACTACTAAGTATGATGTTACCTTATACATTTTTCCTACATATTTTATCATTTTTAAATAATGTATTTATTAAGTTGAGGGAGAGCACGCATGCACGCTCTCTTGGAGCGCTCCCTCCAAGAGAGGAGGGAGAGGGAGAAGCAGACTCCACACTGAGTGCGGAGCCTGATGGCAGAGCTTGCTCTCAACCCTGAGATTGTGACCTGAGCCGAATCAAGAGTCTGATGTCTAACTGACTGAGCCACCCAGGCTCCCCTTTCATATATATTTTTTACCAAGTTGACTTGGTAAATTCTATTTCTATTCTATTCCTATTTGACTATTCCTATTTGACTGAATTGTTAAATCAAGAATTGGTATTGAATTTTTTCAGATGATTTTTCCCTATCAAGATTTTTTTTTTCTTGTTTACTCAGTTACTCTGGTAAAATTACATTGATTCTTTCTTTTTTTTTTTTTTTTTAAACTAAGCTCTAACGCCCAGTGTGGGGCTTGAACTCATGAACATAAGATCGAGTCACATGCTCTACCAAATTCATTTTTTTCCTGCTCACCCTACCATTTCTTTTAACTCCTTAAAATTGTTTTTAATTTGCATACAACTTTGGACAAAAACAGTTTGGTATATATTGATTCATTTTTTAGTATTAAAACAGTCTTCAGTTCCTGAGATTAACCCCACTTGGTCATGATGCATTATGCTTTTAGTCACTCTAGATATAATTTTTTAAGATTTTTATTTATTTACTTGAGAGAGAGAGAGATCACAGAGGAAGAGGGAGAGGGAGAAGCAGACTTGCTGCTGAGCAGGAAGTGGGGCTTGATCCCAGGACCCTGAAATCATGACCTGAGCTGAACGCAGATACCCAACCGACAGCCACCCAGGAGCCCCTCCAGATATAATTCTTAACTATAAATTAACCAAACATAAAACAAGATCAGGATGATATGAAAAAAGAAACATCTGAGAAATGGCAAAAGTTCTTGGAAATGTATAAACTTTAAAAATTAGTAGAAGGGCTAGAAAATAAAATTGAAGAAATATCTTGGAAAGTAGAGTTTAAAATAGGAACAAAATAAGTATAAGTTAATTCTAGAAGTATGTTTTTATTAGGAATTCTGTAACATAAAAACAGAGAAAGTGGAGGAGACAAAATTATCAAAGAAATAATACAAGAGGGATGCCTGGGTGGCTCAGTTGGTTAAGCGGCTGCCTTCGGCTCAGGTCATGATCCCAGCATCCTGGGATCGAGTCCCACATCAGGCTCCTTGCTTGGCAGGGAGCCTGCTTCTCCTTCTGCCTCTGCCTATCACTCTCTCTGCTTGTGCTCACTCTCGCTCCTCTCTCTCTCTGACAAATAAATAAATAAAATCTTAAAAAAAAAAAATACAAGAATATTTCCCAGCATTGGAAGATCAAAATTTCCACACTAAAAAGGCTATAGTAGGAGAGCCTGGCTGGCTCAGTCCGTGGAGCATGCAACTCTTGATCTTAGAGTCGTGAGTTTGAGCTCCACGTTGGGTGTAGAGATTACTTAAAAAAAATAAAATCTTAAAAAAAAAAAAAAAGGCTAAATGCAGCTAGCCTAGAAAGCAACTAGTCTAGATTGTAGCATGGGGATGGAGAGCCTTAGAAAAGCAATCTTTAGGGAAAAATTGGAATGGATGAGTTCGAATGTATGGTAAAATATATTGATAAGACAAATAGCAGAGATGTACTTTGAAAAAGTCAGTTAATAGATATGTGGAAAACCAAACAAGTAAAAAAAAAAAAAAAAACAAGAGCCATTATCAACTCTAGGAAAACAAATAGTGTACAAGAAAACAGATGTGGTCATCTTTGCCTTAGCTCTGAACCATGTTTCCACAGTCATAACAATGTAAATGTGGACTATTGATGTAATCAAATGGTACACCAGAATTGTGTTAAGAATGAAAGCAAGAAAGTAGGGTGCAGGAAGGTGATGTGGGAGAGTTTAGTCTTCATCTACCACAGTAGAAATTTAGTAGATATATATCTAAAATGGCCATATAAACATTTTTTAAGAATGCTAATAAAAAGCAGGATAAGCAGCCAAAAGAAGTGAAGCTCATTACTTCTGGGAAAGGATCAGTGGGGAATTGGGTCAAGAGAAATTTAAAAATTAAAGAAGAAAACCACATAATAACAAACCTGTCTTTTCTTATAGAGATTGTGGTATTTCCAAATGTAGTGGCTAGAGTACATCCAGTTTTATTGTCTCTGCAAGTTTCTCTAAACCAGTCTTCAGAATCTAGAAATTTATAGGTCTGGTACAGTGCTCTGAGTGGTAGACTCATAGGAGGTTTTTGTTCATCCAAAGGCATTTCTAGGGGCGCCTGGGTGGCTCAGTGGGTTAAAGCCTCTGCCTTCAGCTCAGGTCATGATTTCAGGGTCCTGGGATCGAGCCCCGCATCGGGCTCTCTGCTCAGCGGGAAGCCTGCTTCCTCCTCTCTCTCTCTGTCTGCCTCTCTGTCTACTTGTGATTTCTGTCTGTCAAATAAATAAATAAAATCTTTAAAAAAAAAAAAAGGCATTTCTATAAAAGGAGATTTGACTAACCTGTTTCTATTTTCCTTTTAGGCTTAAATTTTTGAAATTGAAGTAGGTCTACACATTAGGAACTCATGTCTTTTCTTGTAAGTAAACCAGAGCGAATTAGGGTGAGTGTTTCTATTCTTCCGGCTTTACTATTTTTATTATCTGTAAAGCAATGTGTTTTGGCAGATATTGTAGGTTGTTTTTATGTGATGCTCGGAATCCTCTGGAAGGGAGGAATGTGGGAAGTAAAGCAGATATTACAGCCTCCATTCCTGAGAAAAGAGCTTCAAGGTAGAGGCTGACCAGAGACACCAAATACACCCACCAGTTCATCTGATAGAGAAGGAATGGTGGCTTATTTTATGAATATCACTCATACAAAATTAAATGAATAAATGTCCCTTTTCACTATAGATATGTAATTGCTAATAAGCTGCCTATTTCCTATGTATTTTCAGCGAGTTTGTGTGTTTTAAAAATCAGTATCAAATTGTCATTATTGGAACACTTTTTCTAAGTATAATCATGGGTTTTAACTGAAGACTCTTTAAATGTGAAAAATGTTATTACAACTGAAAACTTCACCAGCTAAAATGACCTCAAGAACAAATACTGGATTTATAGCTTGTTTGTAAGCTTCCTTGACTTCATAAAAGAGCATTATATTTTATTTATTATCAAGTATTTAATTTCTAAATGCAGTAGTAATTATTTTAAAATTCTGTAACAAGGAAGAAGTGCTATATGACACATGAACATACCACTTTCTTTAAATATTAAAGTATATGTTATATTTTGTGATACAGTATACATTATTTTTTATACCAAGTTTTTTTATTATTATTATTTTGGGTGTTCATTTTTTTAATTTAGAAAAAAACTGATATAGAGGAGGACAGAGAATGATGTTATAGTTCCAATTCAAAACCCATCTTATACAGCTTATTTCTGAATGTTACTTAATCTTCTCTTTTCTTGTGTTTGTGTATATAAGAATAATTTATACTGGAAAGAGTAAACTTCACTGTTAAGAGGAAAAACAGAATCTCTCCTTAGCCTGAACTCTGTCTGGTGGAAAGAATGCCCCTAAGCCAACCTTGAACACTATTTCTTAAGTGAAATTCAACCTTGATTTCCATTACTTTTACATATGAGCTTTTTCTCTGTGTCAACCTTGCCTGATTCATGTGAAACCAGACCACTGATGAGTATTAAGGAAATCCAACACTCATTTGAAATAGGATAATAAAGTGAACCATGATTGGGGAATTAAGTGTGGTCTTTGTAAACCTGGTAGAAAATGTAAGTGGTGACGTCTTTAGAAATCCTAGTGGATGAGAGAATATTCAACTTACTGTTTTCTTTTACAAATTAACAGAGGTTGTGAAAAACTGATCTCTATTTTCCATATTATGAATTCCAGTAGCATTTTTCACATTGGTATTCATGATCCAAAGCATCTGTAATAGACAGCCATTGAGAGTGTCAGATGGAATCAGAAGGTAGTTTTATGTATAGGAAGGACAAAAAAACCTTCTTCGTTATTAGGGCCAATACTACATGTTTCACAACTATCTGTCAGATTTGAAGATTATTTATCAAATTAGGGCAAAGAAGAATAGAGAAAGGAGTTAACCTATTGTTTTCTATTGACTTAAATCCAGGATTCTTTTAAAATTTTTCCATAGAAATGCATCTTAACTGTATGGCATGATTCTGTTTTTGTAGTTTATGTTTGTCTAATGGCTGATAGCTAATTTTTTGTGGCTTGGAAGAAATACTAATTCTTTTTGGGGTTTTCTTCTTTAGCGGTGGGTCTCGGAAAAGTTCATTGTTGAGGGCTTAAGAGATTTGGAGCTATTTGGAGGTAAGTACAGTATGGCATTTTGCCATCACTTCAGGGTAATGTCACTTTGTTGTGATTTGTTGACTAAGTCAATTGTAAGGGCAAGTATAAACGAAAGCTCTTCTATTCATTTGGCTCCATTTTGAATCCATGGTTTCCCAAAGTTTTGAGGACTCATCTGGCAGTTGACCTTGGCCTGTCTTGATTGTTAGAAAGTCAGTATTTACTTGAAATCATATTTATTTCTTCTAAGTATTCATCCAGTTGAAAGACATATTCTTAAAGGAAAAAAAACTAAGCATTTAAAAGCTTCTAACCTTGAAGATTTTAAAAATAAAATTATTAGAACGAAGGTAGCAATGATATAAAAGTTTTGGTTTACTGATCAATCTAGTTGACTCATCTTTTCATAGTAGAAATTATGAGACTTAAGAGAACTAAGGAAAAAAAAATCTGTCAGGACAAAAATATTAACTGACTTCCTGTTGTAAAATCCACATACTGATTTCGGAAGTTGTAACCTTGCAATTTTGAGGTTTAATAGGGCCAGGCATTTGCCTTTGATTCTTTTCAAATTTTCGAGAACCGTGATCTTAATTTTAGGCAAAGAAAATTCTTTTCTACACAAGTAATAGTAGTAGAGCCCCATTCTTTGTGTCTGGATACCAAGACACTCTTTGGCTAAAGAAGCAAGTTATTAGATTGAGAGCATCGGTTGACTGATCCCCAAAAAAATACCCTCAGATAGATTTCAGTCACTGAGAACTGAAACTTGTTAGTTACTAGGTGATACTTGTTCATTTATTTTCCCTCATGTCACTCAAAAGACCTTCCAGAGGAGTATTATTTGTGAACTCTGTCAAAGTATTCTGTTTTAGACAAATGAGAGTTTAGAAAAATGATGAGTTATTTTTGTTTTAGTTCTGAAGATTAAAAATGAGCTGCACAGTAAAGGAAAAGCTAAATGGGAAGAAAAATATTATATTCTGGTCCTGTTGTCATTTTCTTCTAATCATAAATGGAAATACCATGGTTTAAAAGTAGACATTGGCACTGATGAAAATGGAGTTGGAAGTCCAGTTTACAATTAATTAGTTAAAAATATTCCAGTATATGTGAACTGAATTAAGGATTTTGGTTTCAGCATCTTGAGTGTAGGATCTCTGGCAGACTTTTGACAATTCCCTTGTCTCTCATCTGAGGAGAGTGAAGGGATTGGTCTGTATATTGTTTACAGCTTGATGAAGTATGTATTATGAGGTTTTATACAACTTGGAATTTGCCTTCTACTCTGTAAGATTGGACTTGATTTCCTTTAATCTATTCACTTGGCTTTAACAGACTGTCTTAAGCAAATGTACCTGCCACTTGTATACCAGAAAACTGATGTCCAAAGCAAAAAAAAAAAAAAAAAAAAATCTTATTTTGATGAATTGAGGCTAATTTATCTGTGGCCACTCTCTTCTAACAATACAGTTGGATGCTTTGATTTCTAACTTAAGCTACTTGGAAATATGTGATCATTCCAGTACTTTCCAGTTAAAAATCAACTTTGATGATTTTTCTCACTTTCATAGAATGATAAAAATAAAAAGTACAGATACAGAATTTGTCTGATTTAAGGGAAGGATGTTATTTGAGTTGTCCTTTGCTTTATTTCACCTAGAGTAGCAGAGGGCCAAAAAGCCCTTGCTTTATCTGTATTCAGAATAGAATGCATGTAACTGAAGAATCTAAGTGGGTAACAGTCCCATGTATCCATGTTGCCGTATTAAAACATTTTTGCCTTTTTTTTTTTTTTTTGAAAGCCTGTTTTCTGGTCCCTGCACTTTCTGGGAAATAGCCACATATCTCTGCAACTTTATATTGAATGTTTTGTTCACAATATAAGACCCTGAAACCAGCCTATTGAAAGTAACATTGTGTGCTGATGGACAGTACATGTAAGACTAGAATTACAGCAGCTGAGTTATACTTGCCAAAGAATATGCAGAGAATAATAGCCTTGCCATCTTTTGAAGACCCAGAGATTCATGTTTAAAACGTCATCTTTGTGTAATGTTTTGACTGTGGGTCTCTCTGTGTGTTAGCTAGTGTTTGTGTGCATGTGTATGTGTTTATACCTAACCCTGTGGGCACTTTTTACCATAATGACTCTTAAGTGGTTCCATAAATAAATGTTGTCCTAAGTGTAATCATTGCTATTGTGAATGTGGATGTGTCTTCTGCTAAAAAACAAAATGCCAACAACCAATTTCTCTACTCCAGAACAGCCTCCGGGTGACACTCGGAGAAAAGTAAGTGACTTTCTAGGTTCTAGCATGATGGCTGTTGCATGGGGATGACTTCTTGTGGAAATTTGTGGTTTTGGTTGGCTTATCATTTTGTGTTTCTGCTTATCTCAATGAGTTGTATTTGTAGTGTGGAAATTCAGGTTTCACCCTGGAAAGATTTCAGTGTGTACTTTGGAAGCTGAAAAAGTCTCAGGCACTTTTTGTCTCTGTCTTGGGGATTAAGGTCTCCTCCCCTTCCCGACCCTACCAGTCCCCCACCACCCCTCCAAAGCAAAGAAAGTTTCAACAATCTAAGATGTGGTTATCTTTTAGTGCCTGGTGGTGCTACATTTTCCATCCAATTAGGTCTATTGCTAATTGATTTCAGTCCACAGAGATCATACAGAGCTCTACCTCAATTATAGGCCGTACCTCAAATCTACCTTAAAAACAAAACCCCACATTAAAAAGTACAAAACAGAGGTGCATTTTTTTTTATTGGTAAAAGTTGAAAGACTTTTGTCCTTCCTACTCTTGTAGTTCATTTCACCAATGTAACACCAGATGTGCATAGTGTACCAAGCTATTTTTGATAACATAAATCAGTGTCTTATAAAGAGAGAGGAAAAGAACCTCCGGGGTTCTTTCCTCTGTACCCCCCCTTCCCCAAAAGACTTCTTGGTCTTTTCAGGTGACAGACTTCTGCACATTTTGCGGGGAGCCCCACAGTTGAAGGATGGTGATGTTGACTAGGAATTTCTGAGCAAAGCTTTGGCAGATTGAAATATGTTCTAGCCAGGAGACCAAAAAACATTCCCTGTACCATCAGTTAAATATTTTTCCAGAACAGAATGCCCATTATATATAATTTTTATGTTTTCACAGCTGCTGGCATTATGCTAAGAGTTATCCTGTGTGAAACCTGGTGGTGGTGGGGGGTGGATATAGCATTTCACAAATATTGTCTTTGTGTGCTCCATTGTACTTCATCTTAAACTCTTTAAACAAAGTTATTTAATGGTCATTTCTGGCTATCAGTAGCTTATGTATTGTCCAAATGCTTCAAAATGAATAAAATGGTTTTCATGGCAGGGGGAACTAAGAAGCTTTGCTAGAATTAGTTTCTCTAGATAATTTGAGATTATACTTCATGCTAATACAACTATGCCATGCTGTGTTTAAAGAGAATTTCATCCTTTTCATCTGAATTTTGGCCTTTTCTAACTCTGAAACAGTATACTGGACTAACCCCCCCTTCTTGTGGCAATATCAGACCCGACCTCTTCCTTTTAAAATACTGTCTTTGTTTGCTTGTTTTCCTAAATAAAGGTTGGTTTCTCTCTGAGTTCAGACCTATAGAACATCCACAAACTAGAACTCGCCCATTTTAGGATCACTGCCAGTGAGATGGGAACAGCAGCCACTAGACTAGTTTATCTCATGCAATTCCCGAGTGCCAAGAATTCACATTCCCAATTACCTAAAGAATTTTATTTCCTAAAATGAACACTTTTGAGTCGTTTTCTGTAGTCAGCAAAGATAGTAGAAATACTTGCCAAGTTACTACCTAATCATACCAGTAGTTTACTACATCGTTTCCTACCTAGGCTCAACAGGGGCGTGTCCCTAGTGTGTAGCCTACTAGACAGTACGTCTTCTATGCACTTGCAGCATGGAAGAGGGACATAGGTCATAAAAAAGTATCTACCAGTTTTTCCCAAGGGAGTTATTTAAAATGCATTTAATAAATACTTTCATCTCACAACTCCAGCTGTCCATCTTTGTCTCTATTTCAAATTACAGAAATATTAAGGAGTTTTCCTAGAAATCGGAGGAGAGAAGACCTTCAAATATATAGTAGCTTTAGATTTGTTCTCATTGGGACTATATTGCTACTTGCTAAAAAATGCAGTACTTCCTTACAGAACAGATTCTGTTCTATAAAGCACCCCTAGTAACAAGGGATCTAGTGAGTGTGTCACATGACAGCAGGTGTTTTCAGTCTGGGTCAATATGTTGAACTCTGTCTCTGGTGGAACTGGCTGGTACATGTCCCCAAGCCTCTTCAGCTCATGGCAATGACAAGGTCATGGTCAGGAGACCTTCCCAGTTCAAACTTGACCCATGCAAACCTGTTCTCATGGGTCAAGTATAGCAAGTTGGGGACGTGGTAAGGGATGTCATTAGAAGTAGGCAGGGGCCGAGTCACATCGATCCTCATAGATCAGAGCAGGGACTTAGGGTCTGCAAGCCACCCCCTGAGTTTTATGTTAACTGATGACACTGATGTTATTGAGGAGTAGATTAATACTTCAGAAAACAGGATCCAAAGAAGAACAATATGTACGGATAGTGAGAGGTAGGAAGTTAAGAAGATGGGACTCAAGACTAACTTAGCTTGCAGCTTGTCAGTTCTAAACAAATGGTAGGGGGCGCCTGGGTGGCTCAGTGGGTTAAGCCTCTGCCTTTAGCTCGGGTCGTGATCTCAGGGTCTTGGGATCGAGCTCCACATCGGGCTCTCTACTCAGCAAGAAGTCTGCTTCCCCCTTCTCTCTGCCTGCCTCTCTGCCTACTTGTGATCTCTCTGTCGAATAAATAAATAAAATCTTAAAAACAAACAAACAAAACAAATGGTAAGCTGCCATTTCAGAGCTCCTGGTTTGGGCTTTTTTTTTTTTTTTAAGATTTTATTTATTTGACAGACAGGCAAATAAAAAAAGATTTTATTTATTTGACAGGCAGAGAGAGAGAGAGAGAGGAGGAGGACGCAGGCCTCCCACAGAGCAGAGAACCCGATGCGGGGCTTGATCCCATGACCCTGGGATCATGACCTGAGCTGAAGGCAGAGGCTTATAACACACTGAGCCACCCAGGCACCCCTGGTTTGGGCTTTTTGGTCACATTTTGTCCCTTGGTTGTGTATCTCTCACCTGTCTGAGGCACTTGGGAGGTATCTTAGCATTATTCTGAAGACCAGACAGTGTCAAGAAGCTATAATGGCTATCAGTGATCCTAGAGTTTGTTTTCAGAGCATTGGAAAATACAGGTAACTATAAAAACTAAAATCAAACCAACCTTAATCATTTATCAAGCTCTTCTTAGGATTCTCCGTTTTCTTCGTTTTCTCTGTTCCATCTTATTTGTCGAACAGGAGAGTGACCAAACAGTAGGCAGTAAAAGAGGGAGGAGAAGAACAAAATACATATTAATTGAATACCTATGAGACACCAGGTAGCGCTAAGCTCTTTCCATATTTCATCTCATTTCATTGTCACAACAGCCCTATGAACTGGGAATTTATTCCACTAATGAGATAATAGAGACCCTAAGAGTTTAGAGTGACTTACCCAGGGTCACAGAGCAAGTGATAGACCTGAGTTCAAGTTCTGTCTCTCTCTGGTTCCTGATCCTATAGTCTTTGTATTGTACCATTTATCTTTTCCAAAATTTAACAAAAAGTTCTCTGGATAAGTAGATTTGGGAAATGCTAGGTCAAACAAAGTTAAACAAGTTTCCTTACTATAAAACTTCTCAAAACGAGCATCCCTTATGATTCTTCACGAGGAAGAAAATGCTGCCTTTTCTCATTTAACTGAACATGGAAACTGTTTCTGTGTGTTAACTGCCAAGATCAGTGTTTCAGGGGGCCTACTTGGGGGAAAATCTTGCATTAAAACAACCCAGTAGAAGAATGGACAAGAGAAACAAAGAGGCAGTTTCACCTGGGAGAAACACACATAGCCTACAAATACATGAAAAGATGTTCAACCTCGTTAGTAATCAAGGAAATGTAAATCAAACCACAATGACATTGGCAACAATTAAGTCTGATTAAGTGATGGAGGAAAATAGACCAAGGAAAACATGCATATAATGCTGGAGGGAGTGTAGATGGGTATAACCTTTTTGGAAAACAATTTTGCATTAGTTTGTAAAATTGATCATTCATTTGCTCTGTAACATACCAATTCCATTTCTAGGCCTAAGCTTTAGCATAGCTCTCGTATACACGCATCAGGGGTTTCCGATAGCACAGTTCATAACAGCAGAACCGAAAACAACCCAAAAAGCCCATTGACGCTGGAATGGATAAACTGAGGTAGAGTCTGAGGTAGAACTGCTAAACACAACAATATGGATGAATCTTAAGATACAGAAAAACTGAATTAGAAATTTGCTGACCAGACTCTCTTCCTTGACGAGATTCCTCTTACTGTCGTAGTAAGCGGTGCAAGAGGAAGAGCCCCACGTGGTTTCTTTCCCCAGTGGCAGCATGAACTCTTGAAACCAGATGTGCTTGAAACATCAGGGACCCCCTGCCAGGTGGTACCACCAAGCCAGAACATTCTCGACTTACTCTCTTCTGGCTAGCGCCAAGTCTGGGGCCTTTCGTGTGTTCACAAAGACCTTTTCCTAACTAGCGCTCAGGTTTAGGAACACAGCATATGGAATTTGAGCTGGCCTAAGGTTCTCCATTTCCGTAGGACACACGTCTGAAGAAAGATGATCCAAAAGAAAGAAAAACATGGCCCCGAAATCATGTAAATAAATTTAGGTCTGGAAGAAGGAAACAGCGTTTTGAGCTGGAAAAGCTGTTGGTCTGCCATCGATTTTGATGGGCTCTCTTCTTCTGGACCTCGAAGGCCAGAGGTGTGATGCCCCACATCCTAACTGGCAGAAGTCCCGCTTCACATGTGGCAAGAAGAAGGACGCGGATCACTTCCGCCGCCTGGGATGATGGCTGAGACCCGACAGTACTGTCCCTTGCCTGCAGTCATGTGTGCTGGCTGATTTTTTTTTTTTTTTTTTTTTTTGCTTTCCTTGGAAATGTCAGGGAATAATTGGTCTGGGCTCTTGGTTTGCTAAAGAGTAGATTTCTTATGGCCACATTTTCCCTATACCAAGATTCAGCACGTGACCTTTGCAATCTTGCGGTCAGGACCATAAAATAGGAACCCCTCCCCCACCTCTCCATCCTGCATCTCTTTTATAAACATGGTTTTCTCCAGACATCCTGCCCCCAGATAAGAATTTCACAGTTTTTAGCAAATAAGCCAGTTGTTGGAATGGACAAGCAAATCAATAGTCGACTGAAACTGGGCCTGTCCCCCACCCCCATTCCTATATAGTACTCACATTTACTGGCTCTGATATTAGAGCTGGTGACTACATTGAGCACTGGTGTTTTACATTTCTCATTGAATAGTGCTGGAACAATTTCTTTGCCCCAGAGTCAGAATTTGTGTGGTTAGATGCCAGTCTCCTCGTGGGTCTGAATTGCCACCTCCCACTCCCATCCCACACCCAATTTTCTCTTATTAACCTATTTTTCTTTTTCTTTAGACCAATGAAGCGAGCTCAGAGTCGATAGCATCCCTCTCTAAACAGGAGATCATGAGTAGCTTCCTGCCGGAGGGAGGGCGCTACGAGCTACTCACCATCATAGGTAAAGTCCAGGGACTGCCACTCTCAGGCTCCAGGGTCTCCTCTGTGCCCCCCCTTCCCCAAAATGAATGTGTGCCAGAAGCTGTGAGCTAGTTAGCAGGACTCAGGGTGACAAATTTGGGGGTCTCCTTTGCTTTTGTCTTCCAAGTATGGGAAAAGAGCTCTTGGTACCAGGAGAGAAACTCTTTTGCAGTTTTTTCCTTTTTGGCTTGTACACTTCTGACGTCCTGCGCTGTAGTCAGTTCGAATGGTTGGTGGAGGAGGAACTGAAAGGAGACAAATCAAGAAATGTCAGTCATGAGGGTAACAGTGACGGTTTTAACTTGAATCTCTTTTTTAGATCAGGTCTCTTTAAGGCAACCTTTGTTGCTCTTGTCCTTGTTTATGGCCATTCCCCTTTTCTTTTAGGCAAAGGATTTGAGGACCTGATGACCGTGAACCTAGCAAGGTACAAACCAACAGGAGAGTATGTGACGGTACGAAGGATTAACCTGGAAGCCTGTTCCAATGAGATGGTGACATTCTTGCAGGTAATAAAACGTGAATGGGACACTGGAAGGGTGGGCTCTTAGTTCCAGTAGTAATCACAGGACATCTCTTACATGTGTCTTCTGAAAGTAGCTGGAAGAAAACAAAGGTGGACTAAACCGAGACGTTACAGACACTCTTAATGAAGAGTCCTGGGATTTTGGCACTAAGGCTTCTATAAAGCTGCTCAGGCCAATTTATAGTCCCCTCCTCTTCTCCAAAGAGTGCTTTGTGGCTCATTTATTCACTTGTTTACTATTCAGAGAGGCTAAGTAACTTGCCGGTGGTCACACACGCTTGTATGTGGTTGAGCCGGGATTCAAACCCGGGCAGTCTTGTTGCAGATTCAGGGCAGCCTGCTCTGCAACGACAGCCGTGTCCCAGCTCTCATCACCCTGTTGGCCCAGGGTTCCTTTCTGTTGGAGAAGCGAGTAGCTGCCCTCTTGTTAAACAGGACCACAGATCTGGTAGCTGGCCGGGGGCTAGACTCTCCTTCGCTGACGCAGGCCTGCACTGAGAACCCCTGAGATCCAGGGCCTGGGTCGGTGTATTTTCAGCAGTGGACGTGCAGCCTGTCCTCCTACTTCATTCATAACGTGTCTCTGAATTCATGCTCATCTGATGGTGCTCTAATACCCACCCATTTGTGTGGTCGGAGCAGTTTTGTGGGTCTGAGGATGGAACTGAAAGTCAGTCCCAACTTAGTTATTTGGGAAGAAAGATATTTGAGTTTATTCTAGAGCATGTTGCACTTTAGGATTCTTTTTTAATTTTCTGGAGCAGTGGACAGGTAGAAGGTATAGCTTCTTTGACCTTAGCTCATATCCCATCTCAGGACCCTGGAGTGTCTGTAATTCTTTCGTCCAAATTTATTTTAAAATCCCATAGGTCTGGGGCACCTGGGTGGCTCCGTCGTTAAGCATCTGCCTTCAGCTCAGGTCATGATCCCAGGGTCCTGGGATTGAGCCCCACATGGGGCTCCCTGCTCAGCGGGAGGCCTGCTTCTCCCTCTCCCACTCACCCTCTTGTGTTCCCTCTCTCACTGTGTCTCTCTCTGTCAAATAAATAAATAAAATCTTTTTTTTAAAAAATCCCATAGGTCTGACACTTTCCGTAACCGCTCTCCCACCCGGGTTGCTGGAGAAGCCCCTTCTGATATCTAGTAGTTATCATTTGCTCTCTGGTGCTTTGTTTGCTTGTTCTGTCCATTACAGCATTTTCCTTTACAATGGGAAAACATTCTTTGTTTTCTTACCTTAAAGAGGAGTTCTGTGCCTTGGCCCTTGAAGTCGAGCTAAGCTCTAAGCTCATGACTTCCTAAGTCTTCAGTCAGCAGTTGGTTCTCGATTCTGAGGTGGCGAGCTGGGACCCTTGATTGTGCTGTTGGCAGTTTCCCTGCAGGCGGGGAACTTTTCTTGAGGCTTTTAAGATCGGCTGGCGGAGCCAGACTCAGGCAGAAGCTGGCAGAGCAGTGCTGGGCTCCGTGTGGAGACCGCAGAGCCTGGCCTGTCTCCTCTGGCTGGCCTCTGGCGCAGGCTGCTCCCAGGACTCTGAGAAGAGCTCCGGAAGTACTAGGTCGCCATGTTATTCATGGCGTCCAGTGCGCTTGATTCTGACTTACCATTGCTTTCAGGGGGAGCTTCATGTCTCTAAGCTCTTCAGCCATCCCAACATCCTGCCATATCGAGCCACCTTTATTGCAGACAATGAGCTGTGGGTTGTCACATCATTCATGGCGTACGGTGAGTGGGACATGGGTCCTGGCAGAGAGGTGTTCTGGGAGCTCTGTTGTCAGCCGGCTCACGTGCAGTTTCCCTTCTCTGTTACCCTTTCCCCGGCCCCCACGACTGTTTTCTTCAGGTTCTGCCAAGGATCTCATCTGCACACACTTCATGGACGGCATGAATGAACTGGCGATTGCTTACATCCTGCAGGGGGTGCTCAAGGCCTTGGACTACATCCACCACATGGGATACGTACACAGGTGCAGTCTCGGGCACAACCGCCCCTTCCGAGAGCGCATGAGCCCTCGAGGAAACGGTGGGAGGTTGAAGTTAGTGATGTCAGAGTTTAAACCAAGGCTCAGCATCCTGTTCTCGCCTCTGACTTGGTAGACAGAGCATTTGGTCTGTCAGTTCTAACTTTCTCTTTACTGAGTGGCTTGGTCCTGAGAAGAACATCTGTCACGGACCTCTGCACCCCCACCCCTTGGAGCACCCAAACTGGTGTATGTGCCCCAAAGTCAGCCCTATGCCGAGAGGCCGGGGGGAAGGTAGGTTGCTTAGTAGACGGTATCAGGACAAGCAGCTCATGAAGATAATGAAAGGGAAGATAATGAAACTGGACCCCTACCTAAGTCCACATACAAAGGAGCAGTTCAGATGGCCTCAGTGTCCGATGTGAAACTACAGACTTAGATAGAAGGAAATGCTTTTGTGACCTGAGGCATCGAAGACTTCTAGATATTTTAGAAGTACAAAACATAAGACAAATTGACGGATTTGATTATATCACGATTAAAGATCTCTCTCCAATGAAGGACATCAGGAACAAAATTAAGAAATGGGTGACAGGGTGCAAGATGTAAGCTTTGTGTAAAACACACAGGAGATGTGTAACAAAGAAATCCTGTGCATCAACAAGAAAAGGATGGCAAAGCAATAGAAAAAAGAGCAAATGGTTTGAAGTTTATAAAAGAGGAAACCCAAAGGACTAACTGTTGTATGAAAAGATGCTCAAAGCTGGCAATAATCAGAAAAGCAAATTAAGGGGCGCCTGGATGGCTCAGTAGTTTAAGGCTCTGCCTTCAGCTCAGGTCATGATCTCAGGGTCCTGGGATTGAGCCCCACGTTGGGCTCTCCGCTCGGCGGGGAGCCTGTTTCCTCCCGCCGCTCTCTGCCTGCCTCTCTGCCTACTTGTGATCTCTCTCTCTCGGTCAAATGGATAAATGAAATCTTAAAAAAAAAAAAAAAGAAAGAAAGAAAAGCAAATTAAAACAGGATGTCACCCTGTACACATGAGATGGGTGTAAGGTGGAGGCTGGAGGAGGCCCAAGGCAGTGAGGAGATGGGGTCTCCTGTCCACACAGTGGAAGATGCCCTGACGGCTGGGGTCGCTCGGGACTGGGACCATCAGTGCTGTTCCAGGTGGACACCCCAAAGAAACCCTCAGGGGACAGGTGTGGGTGTCATCGTTCCCATTCATGTGGAGTTAGAGGCAGCGTGAGTGCTCCTCCCTGGGAGAGCGGATGAGTAAGTGTTAGAACCTGGCCCAGAGTATGGGCAACAGTTAGGAGCAAAGCTTAGGTGTACGTAGGGGGCGATACAGAGGGATCTTATAAACAGCACTGAGAGGTGAAGGGAGAATGGGAGGGGTAGCACAGCACCATCAGATAAATTGAAAATATATGCATACAAAACCATGCTACACTTTATAAGAATACCTACAAACAGAAAAGTATAGATTGAAGGCAGTAGATGTCAGGGGAAGCAGTGGTCTGGGAGCATAAAAGAGAACTTTAGCAAAATATAAGTAAGTTTTAAAATCTGGTGATATGTAAATTGGGTCATGCTACTTTCTCTTTTCTCACATATGTGTTATATACATATAAATATGTGTTTATGTATAAATGGCATAAATATATACATGTGTAAGACACACAGCCAGACGCTGCTAGGGAGAGAGCTGACTGGAGCTAGTAGGTGACGATCAAAGGTTTGCGGTGTGAGGGGCTCCGGCTGCCCCGTGACACCCTCTCCCCACCCTCCCAGGAGTGTCAAAGCCAGCCACATCCTGATCTCGTCCGACGGGAAGGTCTACCTCTCTGGTTTACGCAGCAACCTCAGCATGATCAGCCACGGGCAGCGGCAGCGTGTGGTCCACGACTTTCCCAAGTACAGTGTCAAGGTTCTGCCTTGGCTCAGCCCAGAGGTCCTCCAGCAGGTCTGTGCACTGAGTCCTGAGGAGCCCCCATCCCTCACCGACTCAGTGTCCCAAGGGAGCCTTCAGGAATTTTCCGGGATGGGGGTGCTTCACTTCTGGGTGGAGTGAGGGGTTCTAGAGGGAGGGGTTCCCTGTTGGCAGGTGGACCTGGGAGGCTTCTCAGCGTGGGTGTTGGGCGCCCATTGCAGACGGTTTGTTTCCCCTCTGTGGGGTCCCAAACTGGGCCGAATACTATTTCAGTCCCCATCAGAGGCCTTCCCATCTTATAGGGGAGCCTTTTGGAAATAGTTGGTGCTCTCCACACCCCTCCACTAAGCAGGAGCATAGGGCCCCACATTTCTTAGTTCTTGTTACACAGCATCAAACATTCCTTCCTTTAAAATATCAGCTACTCTTCGGTGGTAAGGAAGAGGAAGGCAAGGAAAGTGCGCTGGATTGGAGACAGGCATTCTGTTCCTCTCCCCCATGCCCTTCTCAGGCTATAGATGGAGTGATTTGTGGGTTTTTTTTTCTCCTGATTTAGAATCTTCAGGGTTACGATGCCAAGTCTGACATCTACAGTGTGGGAATCACAGCCTGTGAGTTGGCCAATGGCCACGTCCCCTTTAAGGATATGCCTGCCACCCAGGTAAGCCTGCAGCCTGGTTTCCTTCTTGCCTGCCCTCCTGCATGCCTTTCCCTGCTGTGGAAGGGGACCCCAGGGGAGGAGAGCTCAGGAGCAGGCCCACTGCTCACTTCTATAGGGCCTGGAGCACAAACGGAGGCCCACGTGTCATGTGTCTGTTTAGATGTATAAATCAAGCTAGCACATTTTTTATAAATTTATAAAATATATGCTATCCTCCTACTTTGATAAATATACCTGGAAGGTCTGTTTCTAAATTATAGTTCTCAGACTCCTCAGGTTCTGTGCTACCTGCTACCACATTTTGGCCAATACCTTTGGAACCTTTGGCTTACAAGTTCAATTTCTTTTCATGCCCCTTACAACAACTGCCCTTTGGTCACTCCTTGGCACGCACAGCCAGTAGCATCGTGTACCTTTGGGAGACAGCCTGGGGGAGAGGCTTATCCAGGCCTTATCAAGTCCAGGAAGCAGACTTGGGATAGCTGGGCAAGGATTACCTGAGTCCCAAGTACCCTGGAGCATGATCTAGAACTGGGAGGGGGGTTTGGCTCTGAGTGAGCCTGTCCTTAAGCCCACAGAATGCCCTATGGGAAAAGGGGCACTTAGAGAATGGCCAGAGGGGAGCTCTGTAGAGCAGGGGTCCCAGGGAGGCTTCTAGGAGGAGATGACATTTGAGCCTTGAAGGCAGATATGTGAAGAATGGGAAGTAGAAGGAAACTCTTGGCTAGAGGGAACAGCATGTGCAAAGATCCAGAGTCAAGAAAGGATAGGATCTGGGGAATGGCAATAGTTACAAATAGCTTAAGTACAAGGCACTTCCCGGGGGCTGCTGGGTGATGTGGCTGGAGAAGGAAGCCAGAGCAGATGCTGAAGGACTTTGTGTGCCATGCCAGGGCATTTGGTTCCTGGCCCAAAGCATGTGGAGAACTGCTGGTGGCTTCTGAGCCCAGAAGCGATAGCCTCAGATGCATTTTGTTAGATCACTACAGCAGGTAGATTAGACCTAGCAGACTAGTTAGGAGGGTTATGGAAACATACCTAAGGAATCCAGAAAAATCTAAGACCATCGCAGAAAGGAGCTCTGGGAAAGTGAAAGGCTATGCGAGGTGAACAAGAGGTATGGACCCAGAAACAGCATGGTCCAGTAGCACTTTCTGCGATTGTGGGAATTCCTTATCTGTGCTGCCCAGTACGGTGGCCACTTACAGTGTGGCCAGTGAGATGGAGGAACTGAATTATCAGCCCAATTTAAATTCACTTAAGTATATACAGCTGCCTGTGACTGGTGGCGGCTGTATTAGGCAGCACAGCTCTAGAGAACCTTCCAGGTTTCCGGCCCCACACTTCACAAGGGCAACCCTAAGGTCGGCAGTCCCTGAGGTGGGGCTGGTTTTGCTCGTGTAGAGCCCGAGGACTTCGGCCCCGCTGCCCTAGCGGAGCCTGCCCCCGGGCTCCTGTGCAGCCTGCTACAGGGACAGCCCGGGGCAGGGTGGGACGGGCGCCACGTAACGCACCCCTTTGGAACCAGAGGGGCACCACAAATTGGGAGCCAGGCTCCAAACAAAATGACCTGATGGCCGCCTTCACTCTAGGGTGGGGGCTCTACGGTTGGAAGGCTGTGATCACAGTGTCTTATAAACGGGAGAGGAGACTAGAAGCCCCTTCCTTGCAGCCGTAGTCGGGGGGTGCATTTCTGTAGGCCCTCTCCTTGGCACTTTGGCCTAGCTAAGGGATGGCTGCTGAGCCTGCGACCCGCATTGCTTTTGAAAAATCAGACTTACCCCACTTCTCTTTTCTCTACTCCCCCAAGCCAAATTTGTATTTTGGGAGAAGTGTATTTGTAAGGAAACACTATAGATCTCCCAGGGGCCCCCCGTTCAGCCCGGGTCCCGGCTCTGTCCTCCTCAGATGCTGCTGGAGAAGCTGAACGGCACAGTGCCCTGCCTGCTGGACACCAGCACCATCCCCGCTGAGGAGCTGACCATGAGCACATCTCGCTCAGCAGCCAACTCGGGCCTGAGTGAGAGCCTGGCCCCCAGCACCCCCAGGACCTCCAATGGCGACTCGCCATCCCACCCCTATCACCGCACCTTTTCCCCTCACTTCCACCACTTCGTGGAGCAGTGCCTTCAGCGCAACCCAGACGTAAGGTATCCTCTCCGGGCTGAGAGTGGTCTTTCGGGGGAACATGGAGGATTGGGGGGGGGTGTCGAAGGCCGAGTTCGAGAGGACGCATCTGTCCCGGAAAGGGCTGGGTTCCTGGAGGAGTCCCGAGCCCCTGTGGCCAGAGGGATGAGCACAAGGGTTTACTAAGAAGCCAGCCTGGGTGACTCTGGCTGTCGTGTTTCTGGGGGCTGAGGGAAGAAGTAGAGGTTGCCTGAGGATAAGGTGTAAGCAGCAGGGCTTGGGAAGTCTGGGGCACAGGGATGATGCTGGTCTCTCTTCCAATTTCTCTACAGACCAAGTGCCAGCACCCTCCTGAACCATTCTTTCTTCAAGCAGGTACAAGAGCGCTTTCCCGAGGCTCCCTGGGGTGGTTTTTCCCTTGCCTGTGCTTGCAACCACCCTGCACCACCTTTGCTTTGGGATCCTTAGTGTGTATTCTCTCCTCCTCCCTTTGAGTCAGAGCAATGGCCCTGTTTCCGAAGCCCCTTAGAGGCGCCGCTCCTTCCTCTCCTAGAGATTTTGGGCTCTAACAGGCCAACTGTCATGGGGCCACTTGGCCCCATGGTGTCCCGGGAACCAGAGCAACGGGATCCACCCCAACTGTCTCTCCTCCCTCAGATCAAGCGACGCGCCTCAGAGGCCTTGCCTGAGTTACTTCGCCCCGTCACCCCCATCACCAATTTTGAGGGCAGCCAGCCTCAGGATCACAGCGGGATCTTTGGCCTGGTAACAAACCTGGAAGAGCTAGAGGTGGACGACTGGGAGTTCTGAGCCTCTGAAGAACGTTCACATTCTCCGTCCCGGGTCGCATGAGCCCCGGGGGCCCTTCCCGAGGGCTGGCCACATTCCCACCCTCCTGGGTGCAGATTGGGTAGAAAGGACATTTCTGCCACCAGAGTTGGCCGCTTACTCACTGGGAGAGAAATTCCCAAAGAGAAACCTTCTTTACTGCTCTGAGACTTCTGAGACACAAGGGAATCCCAGCAACCAGTGATCAGAGAGGCCGGGAAGCTGACATTCCATCCTGGGAGCTCAGGCGACCTCTTCAGAAGGAAGAGATGCTATTCTGGCCCCAGAGGGCTGAAGGCCAAGCCCAGGGTTTGACTCTTTGATCCAGGGGACTGTGGGACTTCCTCTTCTCACTCTTGCTGTCCTACCAGGCTGTTCCATTCTCTTCCTCTGCTCTCAGATCCTATAGGTCCATGGAGGGGCAAGCAATAAGCAATCTGCCTCCGATCCTATCCCCCAGACCGCGCCCTAATGATTGGAACGAAAGGAAGGGCATTTTTTTCTTGTTAAGCACCATGTGAAGGGAATAGTCCCTCCTTATCCCTCTCATTGCTTGGGCTGCAACATCTAGAACTTTCCCATAGTTCATTGTGTGGTTCATCCCTTCCCCACCAAGAGTCCATCTTACTGCCTTCTGCTGGCTGCCTTGAGGCTTTCTCCAAGGCCACAATGTCTTGCCTAGCCTGAGGATTTAAGTCCTTATGCCGCTTTAGTTTCATCACCAGAACAAATTAAAATTTTTGGAGAATCCACTGGAGAGTGGCATTGCTGTGTGCTGGCTATACAGTCACTCAGTCCCACATTCTCTGTCCCAGAGCGGTCCCAGGAGCGCACACAGAAGCATGGCTGTAACCACTTTCATTAAGAAAGCCTCACAACAGACACAGAGCTGTCTCCTCACACCCAGAAATGTGAGGCTATTCATTTTAGCCTGCGGCCATCCGTCAAACCACTTTGGGGCTGGAAATGTCTAGGTGCCGAAGACTAGCCCTTCCGCAGGCCCCACTTCGAGGCCACTAGGAGTGGAGGCAAAAGAGGCTCATCTTTGGCAGGGGGGGGTTTTGTTCTGTAACATGACTTGCAGTGTCTCCTTACCCCTGGAACTAATACCCAAAGAGCAGGTAACCTAAGACCCAGATCTGTCCCCTCTCTGTCATCCTGGCTGGTGGCCAATGAGGCTGGGCAAGGGGGTGATTCCACCCTCCGTCTCCATGGTGCTTCCCAGCCTGCATGGGCACCTTCCCCCCTGCCGGTCCCTTAGGGGTGAGGCACCCTTCTCTGGCTCAGGCACTAAAAATGTCAGATTAAGGAAGTGCCCCTCCCTCTTCTCTAAAGCTGCTTTGAACCCTCAAATGCTCTCAATTTCCCTTCCCTCAGAAATTTTAGTACCAGTTTAAAAACGATCAATAAAATCCCTCTTCCTTTGGGCAGTCAAAGGGTTGAGGTAGAGGGAATGGATACCCACAGTGAGGCCGAGTGGGGAGGCCAGGTCACCTTTGTTTCCAGCCTTCCTCCTAACCCCTGCCCAGATCATCTTCTCTTTAGACCTCAAGTTCCCTTTTCTCAACACCATTATCAGCCTGTTTTCTTTCCTTCTGAGCTGCTTCACCTGTGGTCAGCTCATACTCCGGGCCCAAGCTGCTGCTTCTGTGGGGGCTGCGCAGCTGCCCCTGCAGACTCGTCCTGGGCAGGGGAGGGGGCCAGGCTGCCTGCTGCTCCCGATGCTCTCGGTGCTCCCAGTGCCGGGGAGGGCCGCACCTTCTGCATCAGGGCAGCCGCCTTGGAGAATCTGGTGGCCGCTGTGCACACTGCCAGGAAAGATGCACATAAACACAATTTCAGAAGTGTCACACGCGCACACACACACCCCAGCCGGGGAGTCCTGGGCTTGCATCTCCACCCCTACGTAAATCTTCCTCCAGGGAGGGGCAGGAGGCTGGGGAGGAAAAGCTGAGCGCCGCCTGCGAGCCCTGAGGGGCCCTGCGGGAGCCGAGGGAACGGACTCGGGGCTGGGGAAGCCTGCCACCTCCCCGGCCTCGCCCGCCGGGCACGGGGGCGCTGAGTTGTTCCGTTCCCTGGCGCGCGTGTGGGCCGTGCTCTGGAGCCACTAGTTCTATTCCTGCCACAGTGTGGGAACAAGCTATGTTTAGGGCTGTTTGGGAACAGCTTCCAGCCAGACGGCAGGCAGAGCCCGCCAGTCCCTGGGGCGAACGAGACCCGGGTCTCCGCAGAGATCCCTCCAGGAAGCCGCTGCCCCACGTGCACAGCACGGCCGAGCGCTACCCCCACCAGTGGGTGCCGGTCACCTGCCTCCTGGGCGCCTCCGACCTGTCGGGGGGTGGGGGGTGCTGGGGCCGCGGCCGCCGCCGGGCAGAGGGGCAGGGAGTAGGGAGCCAGGGGCGGGGGGCGCGGCTTCTGGCGCCAGCCCTGCTGCTCTCGCTTTGTTCCTTGGAACCAGGCACTTCGGATGCTCAGGCCTCTCCCTTGTGTTAAGTGGGGTTAGGGTGCGCCGAGATTCGCTTGTCTGAAGGATGGAAATCTCTGTCCCCGGAGGGAGTGCCCTCTCGCAGGCCACCGCGCCCGCCCGCAGGAACCGGGGGTTCCTACGGCCGCAAAAACCCGCCACAGAAACGCTTCAGGACGGCGGGCCTTGGAGCCTCCCGGGGCCCTTGTCTATGGGGTCGCAGGAGAAAGCGCTGAGGGGTGGTGGTCCCGCCGGACCCCTCGTGTAGCCTGGGGGCAGAGCACGCGGACGCCGGGCCTCGCAGCCTCGCGTGGCGTGACCGCGTGCCGGCCGCCGCTACCTTCTTGCCCCCGCGGCCGAGTGGGGGCGGCCTCTGGCGGCGGGAGGACTGAGCGGCGGGAGGGGGCGTGGGATCCCGGACGGGGCCGCCCCCGCGGGGTCTGTCAAACCGCAGGGCCCACGGAGCGCCGGGCCCGCACGAGGGCCAACCGGGGGAAACTGAGGCAGCGAAAGGCCCTGGAGCGCCCCAGTGATCCTTTCCCGCCGCAGGGGCGTCGCCGGGAGCGCCGTTCGTCCCGGGACCCCAGGCGTCTCAACCTGAACTCGTCGTCGCCCTGAGGCGTGTGATACACTCCCGCTCCGGGCCTTGCCTGGGTCCGGAGCGGGCCGACGGGGCTGCCGGCTTCTCGAGGCCGGCGAGCGCGGGGCCCGCGGGGACGGTGCGAGTGCCCGGAGCGCGGGGTCGGGGCGGGGGGCAGACAAAGGCAGGGGACGGAGAGCGAGGGAAAGACAAAGCACAGAGGGGGTCGGCGGCGGCGCCGGGGCCCCGGAGGCGGCTCCGGGCGCGGCGGAGCCAATGGGCGGGCGCGGGGCGGGGGCCGGCGGGGGCGGCGCCGCGATAAGGCGGTGGCGGCGGCGGCCGCTCGGGGACCACTGGCAGCGGCGGCAGCTCGCGCCCGCGCCCTCCTCGCACCCGAGGCGCCCCCCGGAGACAGACCCCCCCCGCCCCGCGGCCCAGGCCGGGGCCCCGGTGAGACCCGCGGGCGGGCCGGGGAGGGGGCCTGAATCCGTCTCGCAAACCCGGGTGCCGAGGTGGGGGTGCGGGCGCAAGGACCGACGCTCGCGGGGTCCCGACGCCCAGCGCCCCCGCCCGTCGCTCTCGCCCGGGACCCCGAGGCCAGCGGCCGCCCTCCCGGGCGGGCCTCCGAGCGAGGACGCAGCCGAATCCCTCTGGCTGCGTCCGCGGGGGTCCCGGGTTTGGGGTCCGGTCCTCGCGGGCCCGGGGGCGAGAAGCGGGGCGCGCGGGCGACGGGTGTGCGGGGCGGGGCGGGCGCGCAGCCCCGGGAGCGCTGTCCAGGGGCTGGGCCGGCCGAGCGGGGGGCACCGGCGGCCTCGGCAGCGTTGGGCCGGGGTCAGGCCGGGCCAGCGGATTCTCACCGAAGCCCCGCCCGGCCCGCCTGCCCCTGACCTCCCCTAGTCCAGGCGGGGTCCCGAGCCACAGGGCACCCACGGCGGCTGCGCGGCGCCCCCTCCCCCGGCCGCTCCCGGCTAACTCTGTTCTTCCCCCGACACATGGTTCCACTCAGGGATCTCTGTCCCTTGGGGAGCAGCGTGGGGGGCGGGCTGGCGAAAGGGGGAGGTGGGTGAGGGGCGGAAGTGGCAAGACCCAGAGCAACAGGAAATGACTTAGGGAAAGTCCCAACCGCAGCCCCCCAGCCCCCTGCCTGTAAACACTCCCACCCCACCCTGCAGGCTAGGGAAGGGCTTGTGGGGCCCGACCGACCGACTTCCCCTTGCAGAACCCAGCGGGTGCCGCGTCTCCACCTGGGGCCTCCATCACCCCCACCGAGCCATGTTCCAGGCTGCAGAAGCCGCCCAGGCCACCCCCTCTCATGTAGGTGATCAGCGGGGCGGGAGGGCTCCTCTCCTTCAGACGTCTGGCCTGGGGTGAAGGGGTGAGGGGCGGCAGGTTTGTCACCCTTTGCCCCGACCCTCCACCCCCATCCCGCCAAGTGCCTGGGTTCCGAGTTGGTTACCGCAGCCACGGTCTGGGGCATCCCTCCGACCTGGCCCTGACTGGCCTTCTCCCTTAGGAAGCCAAAGGCAGCGGTGCCGGCAGCACTGTCCAGCGCTCCAAGGTAGGGGCCCTGAGAGTGGAGTGTTGGGGGGGAAGAAGGACTGGGCATGGGTCAGGCCCCTCCCTGGCTGACTCTGTCCCCGCAACAGTCCTTCAGCCTTCGGGCCCAGGTGAAGGAGAGCTGTGCCGCCTGCCAGAAGACCGTGTACCCCATGGAGCGGCTGGTGGCCGACAAGCTCATTTTCCACAACTCTTGCTTCTGTTGCAAGCACTGTCACACCAAGCTGAGGTGCGCCCTTGCCCTGCCCCTGCCCTCGCCTGCCAGCCCTGACCTGACCTGACCACGGTTGTTCTGCTTCTGCAGCCTGGGCAGCTACGCCGCACTGCACGGGGAGTTTTACTGCAAACCCCACTTTCAGCAGCTGTTTAAGAGCAAAGGCAACTACGATGAGGGCTTCGGCCGGAAGCAGCATAAGGAGCTTTGGGCCCACAAGGAGGTGGACTCAGGCACCAAGACGGCCTGAGGCCCCTCTGCCATCCACTGTCTCTGTAGAAGAGGGCCTGGAGAGGGGCAGTGGGAAGGGTGGGAAAGAGATTGGACCTGGGCTTGGGTTGGGGGGCAGGGTGGGATGGGGATAAAGCCATCTTGCTCAGGCAGAGGGTTGGGGGGCAGGGCTCAGCTCCAGGGTTCCTTCATTCTCCCTGGGGCCAGGGTGGGGGGTCGTTTGGGAACCAGGATTGGGTTTTGCTCACCACCCTGCTTCTGACTTCTTTCAGTCTACCCCACCTCACCCCTGGCCCCCTGGGAGGCCCCCAGGCCCAGCTTCCCTTTCTAGGTGCCTTTTCTCCAGCAAGGAGTCACCATGCCCCCTCAGGGTCCCAAGCTCCCTCACTGCCACCTGGGGCCCTCTGGGGCCCCCATGTCTCCCCATCTACCTCTGCCCTTAGCCTGGTTCTGAGCCATGGAGACGGGAGGAAGGAGAGCCAGCGTGCCCTGGCTGGGCCTCACAGAATGCCCACGAGGGCCCTGGGGGTAGGGTGGGGAGGGGGAAGTGGATTATCCCCGCCCTCCCCTGATGGAAGAGGCGGGGCATGCCCAGTGGGGCTTGGGACCCATCTTGCACCATCGGAGTCAAGAAGCAGAAGCTAAAGCACCTGCCATGCTGAGAGCCACAGAGACTGGCTGGGGTCTGGCATGGGCCACGCTCCTCTCCTCTTGTCCCTCGTTGCTGCCGGTTCTGACTGTTGTGATCAACCCTGTTTTAAACATGTTTTAACAGATTCTGACTCTGTATTATGTGGCCTGATGGGGCAGTGGGTGGGGGTGGGGGCTTTGTGGCAGGAAGGATGCAGACTTATGCAGAAGTGACCGGGACATGGTCAGCCCAGAGCACTCCTGGCCTTGATTGGGGTGGGGGGTGGGGCTTGTGATGGGTGTGAAGGAAATGATGCCAGCCTGAGAAAAAGAGGGGGTGCTCTTTTTTTCAACAGCCAGGCCTCCGTGTTGTCATAACCAGAGTGGTTTTAGAACGGAAATTCCACTTTGCTTCTCAGCCTTGGGTCGGTTACAAGAGGGTCAGGACAGCTGGCTCAGTCGGTAGAGGATACAACTCTTGATCTCAGGGTTATGAGTTCGAGCCCTGCACCGAGTGTGGAACTTACTTTAAAAAGAAAAAAAAAGGGGCGCCTGGGTGGCTCAGTGGGTTAAGCCGCTGCCTTCGGCTGAGGTCATGATCTCGGAGTCTTGGGATCGAGCCCCACATCGGGCTCCCTGCTCAGCGGGGAGCCTGCTTCCTCCTCTCTCTCTGCCTGCCTCTCTGCCTGCTTGTGATCTCTCTATCAAATAAATAAATAAAATCTTTAAAAAAAAAAAAAAAAAAAAAAAAGAGGGTCAGGCCATCAGTAGGTGATGGGGCATGGCCTCACTGCCTTTCAGTATACTATAAGGCAGAACCCTTCTGCTGAGTCCTTGTCTGGAACCCCTTTGCCCTGGAAATCAGCAAAGGATGGTAGAAACCAGCAGATTCAGCAAGTACTGTTGAAAGTTCTCTAGCTCACTGTGTCCTTCCCCATCTGTCATCTTCCCCTTGCTTTTTCAAGCTCTGGAGTAGGACAGCCACAGTCACCATCTCAGGTAGTCCAAGGAGAAAACAGCTTATGTGCTACTCTGAGGGACAAGTTTACAGCAGGGCAAGCAAAGCCAACCTGGAGGCCCTGAGACACCCCTACCCTGAGCGGATTATATGCGGGAAGTCCGGGATGTCTGTCCCAGACCCATCTGTTCTGATTTCCCCAAACTGTCCGTGGGCTACATGAACTGGTGGAGCCAGAGGGCTGACTCCTGGGGGACAAGCTGCCACTGCACCCGATAGAAGACCGTAAGTTCCTAAGTGATGCCATGCCCATAGGTCAGGGTAGGGAGTCGGTACTCAAACTGGTGGCAGATGGGCCACTGTGCTGTGTGAAGTAGACGTCGCCCCTTGCAGCAGAGCTGCTTCTCAGCAGAGATGGCCCTGGGTCTTCAGCATGAGGGGCACCGAGAGGCTCATTCAAAGCTGGCCCAAATTCTGCACCAGAGGCCTCAGATGGGGACAAGTGCAGTCTCTCCTTGCTCTGAGCAAGGCCAGGGGAAGGTAACAGAGACCTGGCTCGTGGAGATGACTGAGCCCTGCCCTGCAGAACAAGGCTCAGGGGAGGACGTCCCTGCACTGAGAAGACTCCTAGATGCCATGAAGTTCTAGAACCCAGCCACTGGGGACACTTGGGTCAGGGGTGGCTGACAGTACCAGCCTGATCCTGACAGAAGCACCCTCAGCAGAGCTGAAAGTGGGGAGAGAAGGGAACCACCTCTGAGCTAGCAGAGGTATCAACCCAGTCATCCCTGCCTAGGACCCTGCTTGGAGTCATTTCAAGTTCTCTGCTGAGGGACCCAAGCTGGCTACCAGGCACCATACCTGCTCCTCCTGGGAAAACACCTACTCTCTCCACTCCCCACCTGGAAGCATTGCCACAGGACCCCTTGGGTATAAATGATCCCTTTTATTGTAAGTAATGCGCGACACTGGCCTGGCTTTGCACTGCAAGCCCTCGGTCGAGATATAGTCCAGTAACTATGGCTGCAGGTTCTTCTGCACGATCCACAATTCAGACACAGACACAGAGCTGAGGTGGGCAGGAGGGGCAGGAAGGCGGCGGAGTGTGGACTGTCCCCAGCCCTGGCCTCTCCACGTAGGTCTGGCCGAGGCTGACATAGCCCGTGGAATGCTGAGCAAATGGCAGCGCGGCCCTTCTCACAGCAAGCCTGGGGCTGCCAGGGGACTGCCTTTTAGAATCTTCGGGCCCAGGCTGTCCTAGGCCCACAACTTGTTATCTGGGTTATTTAATATAAAGACAATAAATTAAAATTAAGCAACAGCTTGGTCCTGAGGATGCTGAGCCAGCATGTCCACAGTTTTTGGCACACAAAAAAAAATCAGGGTCTTTCGTTTTTTTGGAGTGCAGCGTTTGTTGGCCTGTTTGCAAATTCACTTTGAAAACCCATTCCCTGTGAGGTAAGACCCCAGGAGGTGGGGCTCTGTGAGAGCCTGAAGCTGGGACACACAGAGTCGTCTTGTCGCATCCGCACCGTGCTGTTTCCTCTTGGGGAACAGGGACTGGGGACGGGGGTGTGGGCCCAAGAAGAGTGCTACAGCCATCAGGATGGAGTCGTGGAGAGGCCGAGCTGCCACGTGGCGGCTTTGGTCAAGTTGAGGGGCCAGTCCCCACCCTGGGCCAGGGCTGAGGTGGAGACAGGAGCACATGCTCACTGTCTTCAGAGGGCTGAGCTGGGGTGCCTGACAGAGGCCCCTGGGGGAAAAGGATGGAAACAGAGGGGCTCAGGCCCAGCTGGCACCGTGCAACACACATTCCTGCAAAACCAGCTGCTTTCATTTTCTCTTCTCTCTCTTGAGGCGTCCATCACCTGTAACAATCTAGAATTGATATATATAAAAACCATCAAATATGATCTGAGATATAAATTAACAAGTACAAGGCCTCACATTACATGATGTGAAAAGGCTAAAAACAGCGATAGAAACTACATTCATAAAAGTGCATCGTCAACATACAACGAAGGCTTTGGCTTGTTCTGGTGCCCATGGGGAAGTGGGCATGGCTGGCAATGAGCTGCCTGGTGCTAATCCCAAGCTCCCCAGAGAGGCCCATCCCTGGGCACTGGCGTTGTTATTGTTGTTGTTGTTGTTCCTTTAATGACAACTCCCAAGGAAACTGGGTGTTGGGAGGGAGGAGCTCTAGCAATAGGCACATTTTGGAGGGGAGGGGCCGGAAGAAAAGACCAGCGCCCAGGCTGAGGTAAATAAGGCCAACTCTAAGCTGCTTGGAGATACTGGCTCCCCGACCCCTGCTACCATTCCTCCTCTAAGAAGGGAAAGAGGTGAGACCTCACGGGGATGGGTGAGGCTGGCCAAGGAGGAACAGAGATGGTAGTTTGGGACAGAGTTGGTGACATCTTACGGGCTCTCCCTTCTACCAGGCAGAGAGGGCTCTGGCCTAGCAGGGTCACGACTCACAGACAGCCTGATCCGACTTCCCTGGCTATCCAGAAGAGCCTGCCCAGGGCTCAGGGCAGCCAGCTGGGTCAGATCCCCTCACCATGATGTCCATCTTCCTTTCTGCTCCAGTGGGGGAAAAGGTGCCAGGTCAGGAATACAAAGGCCATTACCTTCAGCTCTTTCCAATCCAGCCCAAGGCCCAAGCCCACAACAGGGATACTTAGAGCCCGAGGGCACACAGTCTCCAGTTTAGAAACTGGATACAGCATAAGAGTGACTCTAACTTGTAAAACAGAGACAATTGCATTGACAAAACTGGGTCTCCCCGCCCCCCCAAGTGGGGGCAGTTCCACAACTAAAGCCCCTGCTGGGGGAGGGGGGGTGTGGAGTCATGGGGGCAGGCAGGATGGGCTCCTCCTTCCCTGAATAAGGCAGCATAACATTTGCTTCATTCATCTTTGGTAAAGGACAGGGACTGGCGAAGCTGACCTGGGGGCTCCGGGGAGAGCACAGCCCCAGCCTCTGCCTTCCATTGGCTGTGGGATGCTGGGCTTTACCTCAGGCTTGGGTGGGCTTATCCAGCCCAGAGATGCCCTGGTGGTCTCCAGACATGGAGGAGAAACACAATAACACTCTGAATGAAAGTAACACTATTCAGACCCTCATGTCCGTCCTGGGCCCCCAGACCCGTGGGGCTTTGGTGCTGACTGCGGCATCAACACATAGCCCTGAGGGGAAGACCCTCAGCGCTTTGCACACTGTTCTGAGCCCCTTTCCCTCCACGTGGAGCTTAGGATGCCAGAGCTCTCAGGTCTGGCAGGCTGGGGGCTCCCAGTCCTTGAGGCTGCAGCCACCCCGCCGTGGCTCTGAGCCCCAGTGGTGGGAGGGGCGCAGACAAACGCTGGTTGGACTGGAGCTCCATGGTCCACAGCATTGCCTGGGAGAAGCAGCAACTTCGCGGAGCCCCTCGGTAGCCCCTTGCCCCGCAGCAGGGGCAGC